TAATCCTTGGATATTCTCAGCTAGTGGCAGGGACAGAAGAATATAGTTTCTGTTCCAAAGAGGACCAGAAATAGGAATGAACGTAGAGTCTGCCGGCAGGAACGTTCTATTGGACATTAAGGATAACAAAGCACTTTTGTTTGATCTCATTTGAGTTTCACAGTAGTCCCGTGAGGGAGACTTCTCCGCATTTTATACATGAGAACACTGAAGCTCAGAAAGGTGGTGTTTTGCTCAGTGTCAGTGTGTTCTCAGCCCCAGCTAGGCTTTCTCTCACTTTCCTGGGCTTCCTGGCCTGAGTCCTCCCCTGAAATCCACGTGAAGGGCCTCTTCCCACCATCCCCTTGAGGGAGCTTCCCGGAACTTCAGAGACCTCAGGCCCTCACCACGGGCTCCCGGGCGTGGTAAGGACCAGGGTGTGTGGGCCCTCTTGTCACCGTGGACTTTGTGCTCTGCCATTTAGGCACCTGCGGAATTCAAGTCACGCGGGAGCTTTTGTGATTGTGAGTGAAGAAGCTATTGCCAAGGGCATCCGGAGGATTGTTGCCGTCACAGGGGCCGAAGCCCAGAAGGTGAGCGTGGCAGTTTGTGGCTTGTGGCTTATTTGAACAAGGCAGGAGGAGCGCAGTCTGTGAACCTGGAGTGTAGACGGTTCCGTAGCTGCTGCGCTCAGAATTGGAAGTACAGTGCTCCCCCCGAACTGTCCTCCAGGGACCCCCACCTGTCAGAAGAGAGCCACCACCGCACAGGACTGCTTAGCTGTACTGTGTTTAATCTTTAAAAATATATGTAAATTCTGCCATTGACCCCAACATCTATCTGTCTCTAGGAGGGTAAGGCATAATTTGGCTGTAGCTTCCAGTGCCCCCAGCATTCACGTCTCCCTGGGGGTACATGCCTAGTTCAAGACACACAGTGTACGGGGATAGTTGCCCCGGGGTGGGGACTGTGGCTGGGGCCTGAGGGCTGCTGAGGCTTGAGGATCGATCATTTCGTTGGGGTGAGAAGGGCTGCTGACTTGGGGGTTCTTGGTTATCCCCTGAGCCTGAGGTAGTGCAGCCTTTCCGCTGGTCAGATGTGTGAGGAGGGTGCTCCTTCCTGGGGCATGAGGCGGCCAACACTTGCTCCCTGAAGGCAGAGAAACTTCTGATGACTTGGGGGTGTGTTGTTCCATAACCTGCCTTCAGTGCTTGCCACAGTTTACAGATAGCACTGAAGCTGAAAGTTACCTGACCAGGTTTACAACTCTGTCCCTCTCCAGGCCCTCAGGAAAGCAGAGAGCTTGAAGAACACTCTCTCTGTCACGGAGGCCAAAGTGAAGGCCCAGACTGCGCCAAATAAGGATGTGCAGAGGGAGATCGCTGACCTTGGTGAGGTAGGGGTGGCCTCCCTTCTCAGGCCCTGCTCGGGGCTGATACATCAGACACGCCCTGAAGACATCTCAGGTCCTGGTTCTCAGTGCAGTGGCTCTTTGAACTGACTTCTGTTGTCTGGCAGCCTTGCAAAGGGGGCTCTGTGGATCCTGGTCTGCGGACCCCTGGAATCTGCTTGCTGCCCCCACTGCCGATGGCAGGGCCTGTTGTAAGCAGGAGTGGGCACCAGTGTTGAGGGGGTTGAAGGAAGGGGTGCCCACTGTGTCCAGGCCTTCTCATCTCTCATGTCTGTTAATATGTGGAGGCTTCCCGTGAGCCCATCATAGGCTGTGTTCACTGCCTGGTAGGGACCAGCTCTTACAGGGGGTCCCAGCTCTCTCTGTCTGCCCCTTTCTCTCTCGCCCTAATTGGTACAGCTGCCGTAGTTGCTCATAGAGTGGTCTCCAGGCTACTGGATACCTTCTTGTTTTTTGTTTTCTCTTTCCTTCTGGATACTAGTCAGGGAACACTTTGGTGTTCAAAGCCAGAAGGGTGGGATAGGCTTGGGCCTCATATCCTAGCTCCTTGTGGTCTGGATTCCAGTGGTATTCTGGTTCTGGTTCCAGGCCCTGGCCACTGCGGTCATCCCCCAGTGGCAGAAGGATGAATTCCGGGAGGATCTCAAATCCCTGAAGAAGATCATGGATGACCTAGACCGGGCTAGTAAAGCCGATGTCCAGAAGCGAGTGAGTGCTGCCATGCTGGTGGCTGGAAGGGAGTCCGAGGACTCACCCAGCGGAGACTGTGTGGTGAGCTGTCTGGGCCTTTGACCTGAGCCTCTCTTCTGGATTTCCTCGCAGGTGTTGGAGAAGACAAAGCAGCTCATTGACAGCAACCCCAACCAGCCCCTTGTCATCTTGGAGATGGAGAGCGGTGCCTCAGCCAAGGCAAGCGGGGGGGGGGGTGCTGGGGGGGCCTGGGACTCCACGTGCCGCTCTGTGCCTGTCCACTGCTTGTCTCCTCTTGGGACCTCAGCCCTCTGGTGGCTGAAGTGGGAGCTTTGTGGCTCTGAGTGGAGTGGTGGAGTGGTAGTCTGAGGGCCCACTCTCTGGGATTGAGGTTAGGCTGAGCCATGGAGGGATCTGGTGGCTGGAGAGCTACAGCTCCTGGGGATTGAAGACAAACCTCAGAGCTGGAGTGTGGGCAGGGCCTTGTGCTTGGGTCCTCTTCCCCGTACAGTCTCCTGGGACCAGCACCTGCTCTTAGAAGGGGAAGGGTGGCAGGGGGTGCTCAGAGAACGGGCTCTGCAGACTCGCTGCATGGTGGAGAGCATGGCTCCCCTTCCCCAGGCCTGGCCTGACAGCAGCTTTCCCCACAGGCCCTGAATGAAGCCTTGAAGCTCTTCAAGACGCATTCCCCTCAGACCTCTGCCATGCTCTTCACAGTGGACAATGAAGCTGGCAAGATAACGTGCCTGTGTCAAGTCCCCCAGGTCAGAATACCCTGCAGCCCTGTGCCCGTGGGGAGTGGTGTTGGAAGCTTGGTGGTTCTTACAGTTGTTTGCCAAGACCCTTTTGAGTGTGCAGCCAGTTAGAAACAGCCATCCTCCTGGTCCCGTTTGTCACCTCCTCCGGCACCCCCACTCTCAGGCCCTCTCCTTGGACACGTTTCACTGTGGTGATACCTGGCTTGGCGACTCCGTGTGCCTCAGCCCTGGCCGCAGCACCCAGGAGGGCAGGAGTGGGGCTCTGTGGCTCCCCCATCCTTTTTCATTTCGTCCCCTCTCCATGTCTTCCTCAGTCTTGTCTTCTGTCCTGACTCCCACTTCTCCTATCTTCCAGAATGCAGCCAACAGGGGCCTGAAAGCCAGTGAGTGGGTGCAGCAGGTGTCAGGCCTGATGGACGGCAAAGGTGGTGGCAAAGATGTGTCTGCTCAGGCCACAGGCAAGAATGTGGGCTGCCTGCAGGAGGCCCTGCAGCTGGCCACTTCCTTTGCCCAGCTCCGCCTGGGAGATGTGAAGAACTGAGGGGTAGGGGCAGCTTCCACTGGGAAGCAGCCTTCCTTCACCCGATGCATCCGTCCAGCCAGCTCTCCATCTGCCACGAGGACTTTGGGATCTTGGGACCCTTAAAAACCCCCGCCTGTCCTCCTAACCCAGCAGTAACTGGAACTCACTCACCTGGGAGCTGGCCTATGACTCATGGCACACATTACGTTTCTGCCCTAAGCCCTACACACCAGCGCCATCGTCTAAAACCACTACCCCAGGATTGCTGTTTATCATCGTCCTGCTCGTGTCTGTAGATAGAGTTCTTTGCGGGCCTGAGGGTCTGGGTCTGTAGGGAGGGATCCTTTTTGCTGCAGAGAATAAAAGGACTCTGTGCAATACCCGATGACGCCATGTGTTCTCTTAACCACCCGCCTCCCGTACAAGCCCCCACTTGACAGCCTGTGGCTCCCACTGGCTTCGGCTTGCGGTCCACACCAAGTCCAGCTCCAGACTCCTGAACTTTGGGAATAGCCACTGGGATTACCTGAAGACATCGGTGGAGGTGGCCCATAGAATGGGGAATTGGGGGGGTGAGATGGAGAGAGGCATTCAGCATTGAACAGAAGATGGGCCGTGGGGTTACTGGAAGCAGTTCCTAGGGGAAGCTCTGCATTTCTTAGGCCTGTGTCCCTCCTCCCCTGCCTCGTGATGTTGAGTGGTCTGGGGGAGGTCAGAGGTTTTCTCTGCTGCAGGGGGTACTTCAGGTGCAGTAGTTGCCTATGCCCACCGCTTTGACCCATCATTCCTGGCTTCCTGACCCGAAGATGAAGGGTGAGGTTTGGGACCTGCCTGGTCCTGAGTCCTTCATTCAGATCTGAAGACAGCTGGGTTTGGAAACCGTGTGTGGGGGAGGTTTAAAGGTACTGCTTGCTTGTGCTGGCTCTGGCTGATTTCACGTTTGCTGGGTACAAGAGGTGGCTGTGGGGCCCAGGTTCACTCGGTGCCACTGACTCAGAAGGAGGGGGAAAGTGGGTCTGTGCTAGGAGAAGCCGCAGGGGCTAACTGTCACCAGCCTGCGGGTGAGGGACTGTCCCGGCTTGCAGTGAGAGAAGCATGCAGGGGGAGGGTCCTGAGGACCTGGCTTCAACAAACACATGCCAGGTGAGGGCCCCCAGGGGTACAAAGAATACACAGTCCAGTGCAGCAGAGAGGCCGTTTCATCCATCAACAAGCATTACGCCAGCCAGGGCACTGATGATGGCAGGAAGACAAAAGGCCATTGCCTTCTTGGGGGAAGGCAGAGGGGAACATGTATGAGAAAGTCACGCATATAAGTGCAAAATTAAAATAATTACAACCTACACAAGTGAAAGGACAAAGACATACGGCCTGGGATTGCTCTGGCCCGAGAGGCTAGAGGTTAGCCAGGCCGGCCCAGCTCCCACTTCTGCAGGTCACCCAGGCCGTCCATCCTTCATCCATCGAGATCCCAAGAGTCCTTGCTGCGGCCCCGGGGCTCGGCTGCGCTCGCTATTCTCCCTCCAGGACGGCAGGGGGCGGTGCGGCACCGCCTGCCGCTATCCCGACAGCCCTCGCGCGGGCGCGCGGCTTTAAGCGAGCGGAAGAAGAGGCGCGCGAGGCCGGGTCGGCGGGCGGAAGCGGCTCGCACGCCAGGCGCCGCCATGCCCGGGGACCATCGCCGCATCCGCGGGCCCGAGGAGTCGCAGCCGCCGCAGCTGTACGCGGCCGACAAGGATGAGGCGCCCGCCGCCCGCGACCCGACGCGGCTGCGGCCCGTGTACGCGCGCGCAGGGCTGCTGAGCCAGGCCAAGGGCTCGGCCTACTTGGAGGCGGGAGGCACCAAGGTGTTGTGCGCCGTGTCCGGCCCGCGGCAGGCCGAGGGCAGCGAGCGCGGTGGCGGCCCGG